TTTTATATTTTGATGTTCTCATTGATTTCAACATGGATGGTTAATTCGGTAATGTTTGATTATTGATGTTTTGGATCGATAATCACTTATAAGTTTTCTATCACATTGTGGTTGCAATCTCAATCTAAATGGCGTTGCAATCTCAATCTAAATGGCGTTAAATAAAATATGAAATTAAATGAGTTCATTTATCATTTAATGTCATATCAACGCCATCTAAATTGATGTTACAATCCTAATGAAATTAAATAGCATTAACTAAAACTCGACCATATGTTTAGTTGATTTTCGATAGCGTAGAATTTATTATTTTCGTAAATGCTTAATGTTGATCCCAAAAAATGAGTCAACAGATGCCAGGTCACTCTCGCCAAATCAAGTACTATTCCGATGCGTTCCTACCAGAGTAAAGATGGTAGCAAGCAGGAAATGGACACGGGGGGACGCTTTGAGGCGAAAAACAAAAATGTTCAGGTTCGGCGGGTGAAACCAAAGCAATCGCATTAACAACGATCACCGGGTAGAAACCAAACTAATCTATGTAGTAACAAATATGAATATGTGGAATAATAGATAAAACGTGTATAGAAGTTGCTATGTTGTATATTGAAATTTGCTCGATAAACATGTAAGAAACACAAAAAATATTCAACCAAGTGTTCATATAAAATTATTGAGAGTTCAAGTGTATATTTCGAATATATGATTGTCAAAATTCTAATCAACCATCCCCTTCTCGGTTACAAATAGAACCTATTTATACTGTTTGGCCGACATGGTTACCATTGAATCAGAACCATGTGACCTCATATCCCTAATTGAGACTTCACATCAATGTTTATTCATAAAATTAGTACATTGATAAATGGTCAGCCGACAAACTTTATTAAAAGTGCTACATCAATCACTTTTAAGAGATCTTCAAATCTATCGTAAAAGACAGCGTCGACCTCATGAGTTTCAGATGAGTTTGAGAGTCTCAGATAGATCTTTGATGTGGTTCTCTCTAAGTGGAGAACTTTAGCCTTTTTTTTCCCCCTTAAAGTGGTGTTTCAGCCTAAGTTGGAATGCTTC